AAACACTGGACTAACGAATGCAGATCAACTAGGGATGTTCAGGGGAACTAATTGGGCCGGGAAACTCGGAAGGGGGCCTCAAGCAGGCCTATTCCCCGAGAACAGTTCGATCATTCCCAGAAACAGTATAAGACAATCTCTCGCAGGACGAATAGATAGTTCCTTGCCTATGGTGGAAAATGATACTGCTCTAGAGGGTAGTTTAAATAGTGATGAAGAATCACATGTGACTGGTGAAAATGACAAACGCATATTGTGGGGATTTGCATCTTTCCCCCTTTCCTTACTGAAGGAAAACAGGCTGCTTTTCCTTTTACAAAAATAAGAGAAGTGAAAGTACTAATGATAAACCCAGGGTATGTGCCTGATCCTTCTTACGCATTCATACCAAGAGCAGCTGCAGCTAGTCCCTGCTGAGAACCAGTCAGCCTGCATTCTTGAAGAAATCCCAATGGTCAGGAAAGAAACATAGTCAGGGTTGAAGTCGACGAACACCTGGAACTCAGACAAGGTTAGAGATAAAGTATGTTCACCAATTATGGGATTCTTAAAAATCCAGAGTTTCAAGGTATTTCAGATCAAAATCTCAGGTTCAAATCCTTACCATAGTAGGTCCCCTCAGAGGAATGACCACCTTTGATGAGAAATAAGGTCATTTGTGACAGCCTTGAAAACACTGGCTTAGAGCCAGGCACAGCACCCACAGGGTATAACATTGGAGATAATTCAACATGTGGAAATCCCCAAACACCCAAGAAATGTCCAAAAACTTAAAATATTGTTAATAGTTTAACTGTAATCTTAAATATAACTGTGTATTCAAGTATTTTTTTAAAAATAGGGGAGGGAGAGGTACCTGGGTTTAACATGTAAAACAATCTTCTTTCAAATTAAAAATATTAAAAAAACATAGCTAAGACTAATAATCACAGTATTTATCTCACCCTTACAAAAATTTGAGAATTATGAAGCAAAAGATAAAGAAAACTTGTCTTCTAGAAATAGACACATAGCAACATCAGAAAACAAGTGAATTCAGATAACTGACATGGTGTTCATGGCATTTTTTATGCCTGGAAATAAAAAAGAATGAGTTCAGAAGAGACAGTCTGGCTTCTTCAACCTCTTCTCTCTCAGGTGAACTTACAGATGTTGTTTTGACCCTATTTCACCTCAACCTCAGCTAAAATTCCAGACTCACTCCTGCCACACCCAATAATTGTTACCTAAGTGCTCAAGTTGTCTGGGGAACCAGCAGGGCTGGGAGTCTGAAGAAGCCCTTTGTCCACTGTCAGTGTCTCCCATCTCAGGCAGTGGCCACAGCAGAGCGTTTTAGCCTAGTTTCATCCATGGTGTTATCTCTGACGTCCCACATGGCGTTATGTCTCATCGGAGGTGGTCACTCCTCGGAAGGTGACCTACCATGGCAAGGGATTTCAAGCACCCGGAAGGCTCTCCTACAGCTTGCGGTTTAGAGGCCAGAGACATATCATCCACATGCGAAGAAAGACACTCATTTGGCCCAGACACTTGCTGCTGACGACTCAGGATGACCAAGGAGCCCTACAGATGGATTTTCCTTTTTTCCCTGTAGATTGTTACTATGTTGGCTTCCTGGAGGAGATCCCCCAATCTACGGTCACTTTGGATACTTGTTCTGGGGGTCTGAATGGGGTAGTCATGTTCGATGACCTTGCCTATGAAATCAAACCCCTCAGTGATTCACACAGGTTTGAGCATGTTATTTCTCAGGTAGTAGCTGATTCTGGCGCAGTGGGGCCTATGAACAAAGGAAAGCCCATGGAGCATAACACGGACCCTGTCTTCTCTGGAACAAATTCCAGTGTGGCTCCCAGAATTTCTAGTAGAGACTACGCTTCCCATCCTGCTGCTATAAAAGGACATTTTCAAGCAACCAGTGAAGTTCTTAAGAAAGCACGGTATAATGTTTCAAGGTGTGCACATTATTTGTTTTCGGTAGCCAGTTTAATGGACACCTATTTCAACAGCATTCATGTGAGGTACTATGTTATTCTCCTAACTGTGTATACATGGAGAAATCCATTTAGGCATGATTACAACCTGCAAAATGGTGAGGCTCTCCGTTACTATAAGAGCAACTTTTTTAATAATATAAGGCCTGATACATCAAATATAATTAATGAATATGGGCCAGATGATCATGTCGTTGTTCCAATTGCAAATAGTATATGTACTGGCGATGCCCTAAACCCTGTTGGTCAAAATGACAGATATTATGTATATGTGTCTGTGGTAGTAACCACTCGTGTTGGGATTATTGTAGGTCTAAAATTTGATGATGAGAAGCACTGTTTTTGTCAGAGAAGATCAACCTGCGTTATGTTCAAGAATCCTGGGCTAACAGATGCTTTCAGCAATTGTTCCATCTCAGAGCTAAACAAAATAGTCAATACCCCCGGTCAGGCATCCTGTCTTTTCTATGACCATCATTTTTATTATAACAGATCATACACCTATTCTGTTTGTGGAAACTCCGTAATAGATGAAGGGGAGCAATGTGACTGTGGTTCAAACAAGGCTTGTTATGTAAATCCATGCTGTGGGAATGATTGCAAATATTCACGTGATAGCATTTGTGATGAACAATTATGCTGTGCAAACTGCACCTATAGTCCTCCTGGGACGCTTTGCAGAAGCGTCCAGAACGTATGTGATCTTCCGGAGTACTGTAGCGGGAGTGCAGTCACTTGCCCAAATGACTTTTATCTGCAGGATGGAACACCATGCTCAGAAGAGGGGTACTGCTATGCAGGAAACTGCACCGATCGCAGTGTACATTGCAAGAAAATCTTTGGTGCAGGTGTTCAAGCGGGTAGTGAAAAGTGCTATGAAATCAATAAGGAAAAGTTCCGGTTTGGACATTGTTATAGATCTCCCGAAAGCCTCGAATTCACAGCTTGCTCTGATCAAGATAAGATGTGCGGAAGGTTGCAATGTACCAATGTCACCTACCTTCCACGCTTGCAGGATCACGTTTCATTCCATCAGTCAGATATTTCTGGCTTTTCCTGTTTTGGGCTCGATGAACATCGGGGAACAGGAAGAACAGATGTGGGACATGTGAGATATGGCACTCAGTGTTCCAAAAGTAATTTCTGTGACCGAGGGTCTTGCAACGGCTCTGTAACTGGACTCAATTATGACTGCACCCCAGAAAAGTGCAATTTTAGAGGAGTATGCAATAATCTTCGGCATTGCCATTGTCATTTAGGTTGGGAGCCTCCACACTGTGTAGGAGAAGGATTTGGAGGGAGTTTAGATGGCGGACACCTTCTACCTAACATGCGCACAATAAGACAGAGCAAAGAACCAATAGTATATTTAAGATTGGTCTTTGGTCGTATTTACCTCTTCATTGCCTCACTGCTCTTTGGAGTGGCCTTTCGTGTTTGCTTTACTAAGATTATCAAGTATGAAGTTTGGAAGGCATCTGTTTTACTTCATTTACAGCAACAAGGGCCAATGCCCTGATATGTACCCAATACACCAAATAAAAGAGTTATCCTCCCTGTCCCTGTAAAATAAAAGAAGTCAAAAAGAATACGTGAATGTTATCATGGAGACAAGTTAAAACTCAAGAACACAATTCTGAAGAGCCTGAGCCTATGTTATGGGGACACAGGAGGTTTTCGATACTGATACTACCTATCTTTGACAGGTTGCTTATGCTCACATTGGAATAAATCTTCAAAATTACAAATTGTTGTCTTCTTCACTTGTGGTAAGTTGTTAACGAACTGCACTAAACTTGCTCCTTTGATAGTAGTAGGAGACTGTGGTGGTAACTGAGGTTCGAGGTGTCAGCCCATGGGAGGATATTCCATGACGGGTGAGTCTTGGATAGGTCAGGTTCTATGACCACCGACTCCAGAATGTCCTTGCTTCCACTGTGCCTTAACTTGTTTGCCACAGCCACCTGTCTCTGGTATCTGGCATGGTGTGATTGTGTGTGGGGAGGTCCCCACTGCCTGTAACACAGTGTGTTTATGTCATGCAATCATCCTGTCCTACTGTGTACTTTCATCTGTGGATTATAATGAAGATGATTTGATTTTTAGAGTACTGTCTAAATGGTAATAATAATAATGTTAGTTTAAAGAGAGTTTGATGACAAAAAATAAAACAAGAAAGTGTCACACAGGATGAACCACATGTGTTGCTACTGATGAGCCATGTAGACTATTGCTTAGGTTAATGATTAAGAAAAATAACTGAGTCCCAGTAACCTAGCTAGTTTAGATTCTTCTATTCGTAATTTTGGGAGATGTATTCACAGGTTTTAGAGTGCACCATAGCTGAAACCAAGCTTTCAAAAAACTCAAAAAGACAATCTAAAATTTTAGAAAGCCACATCATTGAATGAGGAGCTCCTTAAGGTCAGAGAACAAGAAGAAAGCAGCCCAATTGTCATTACCTGACTTGGTTTCTTGCTAGGATTTGTTGATGATCAATTCCTTATTACCTAATTCTGCCCTCAAACTCCTGATATAAAGTAACTATAGATGAGGGGTATTCATCCTAAAGATTTAATGTAGAGCTGACTGATTCTTTTTCAAATAAAAGTTTTGATTTTGATTCCTCTAAGATTCCTTCTAAGATTACCCTTCAACATAAGTAATAAAGTGAGTGGTCCTTTTTGTAACTGCAAAACACAGCCTGCCAGTAAAAGAATATCCTGCTTTCTTACTTCCTGTGAATCCATGGCCTGTTTCATGGGCATTACTGTGCGTGGGTTCTTGGGATAACTGTTTTTCACTTGTAATATGTAAAATGTTTAATCATGTTAGGGATATGAAAAACATGCTGTTTTTTGCTTATATTCATTTTAATCAATGATACACTTGAAAGATAGAATATAACCACATTGTTAATCCTATATTACCTTTAAAAACTTTTTTGGGCTATATAAGCTGTTGAAAAGCAGTATATGCCTGAAGAATAGGGAGTAAAGAAGAAACCACCAAGAGAGTGTGTCAGCGTCTTTTTCCCTAACACTGTCAGATGTAAAGCTAACCCCAGTCAGCAATAGACAGCGCATCAGTCTTCAGTGTACCCTATGCCTGGGTATAGCGTCTGTCTTGCTTTTCTGTTCCCTGAGATATGGTCTGCATATGTGCCAGTCAATTCTGTTCAGGGAAAAGACTGCTATGTGAATATTCGGTGTGTGCACAATTCACTTATATTCACACGTTTCAAATAACCTTCGTTGTATCACTGCCTTCTTTGTTGCCTCCACATACAAAAGTACACTGACAATGAAGTGAAGTTGTCTGCAGCATTGGTCTCTAGGCCACCTCAATCCTTTCAGCTATGTTCATCTCCAGGTTCCCTCCTGCATTAGCAGGGGATAAATCACACCCCTTATAACAAAAGGCAGAATTGTATGTCATTCTCACGGTGCTTAGGGATTTTACAGAACCTCTCAATATAGTTACTAACTCTCACACACAGAGAGAGAGAGAGAGAGAGAGAGAGAGAGAGAGAGAGAGAGAGAGAGAGTCGTCTTACACATTGAGACTGCTAAATTTATTCCTGATAAATTAACTTTTTTGTTTATACAATTACAGGAAACAATCAGGAATAGGACTCATCCTATATATACAACACACGTCAGATCCCATATGGGTCTGCCAGGTCCTCCAGCACAAGGCAATGATGAGATTGATCATTTATTAATAGGTAGTATGCTAGAATCCTCAGAATTTCATAAAAGACATCATGTGAATGGCAATGGTTTAAAAATGGATTTTTCCATCACTTAGCAACAAGCCAAGGCAATAGTAAGGAAATATATTACATGTTCATTCTATAACCAAACTCCTTTTGCCAGAAGGCAGTAATCCCAAAGGTATACATAGAAATGAAATTTGGCAAATGGATGAGTTTCACTTTGAAGAATTTGGAAAATTAAAATATGGACACTATCAATAGACATATTTTCAGGGTTTCAATGGGACACTGCTCTGAACACCAAAAAAGCTGATTCTGTTATTTCAACCTATTAGAGGTAATGGCTATAATGGCTATACCTGAACAAATAAAATCTGACAATGCTCCAGCCTGTGTCTTCGGCAAATTGGAACTGTTTTTAAAATATTAAAACATAAAGCACATAACTGGTATACCATACACGACTACAGCTCAAGCAATGGTTGGGAGATAGAATCACCCTATAAAGGAAATGTTCTATAAACAGGCAGGGTGTGCTAATACACCCAAACACAGATTACATAATTCCTTTCTAAAATTAAACTTCCTTAATGCTAATGAGAAATGAGAAACATCCACAGAAAGACACTGGAAGGTAGAGAAAACTTCTGAACAAAATCACCACTTTCATTTCAAGACTGTATTGATCTCAGTATGGAAACCAGAATATGTGTTATATTTGGGGTAGGGTTTTTGCATATGTTTCTACAGGAGAAGAAATGCTTTGGATACCATCAAAGTTGATCAAGATCCAATTTGAACAGGAGTAACCTCTTGATGACTAGAAATGAATAGTCATTCACCAATGCATATCCCACAATTTGAACTCTGAAAGGTAGGGGGACTGTTTTGTTTTTGTCTTTACAGGAAAACAGGAAACACCTGTCTCCAAAAAGCTAAAAAGATACTGAAAGTGTAGGTACATAAAGAACAGAAGAATAGCTATCCAAGAAAGAACCATCAAACAAGAATCTGGCATATAGTACCATTATCTATTTTTTGTGATCTATTTCTATATAAAAATCTATTTCTCTTTACTTCCTAGTACTCTTTATTCCCAAGTATGTAAACCAATGCTGCCTTTTGAGTTGGGTTTGGCTTTCCTCCTCTAAATCCAAACATGTTGTTAAAATAAAATCTAGAGTTTCTGTCTTATATCAAGAAGCCAATTGGTGTAAGACAGAAGAAAACAAAAGCTAGGGACTGTCATTTGTCTAAACTTGGTTCTCTCTCTGAAAACCTAATTTCCCTAATATTTATTTTCATCCTTATTGTTGCCTTTTCCAGTGTGCATACCTATAAAAGTTGAAATTCCTGTGTTGATATTAATGTTTAAGTTTTTTCCTAAGAGCAATCTTTGAACTCTCCAAAGAGGATGGGACACCACTTCATCAATTCCATTGATCCAGCTTTATGCCTTTGAACTGACAAACACCACCCTTAAACCAGTTTGGGACTATATTTCTCTAGATAGCTCCAGACTAGCTAGCTGAAACAGTGCACCTTCTTAGTATGCTCTGGCCAGAACTTCAGATAGAACTTCAGTCATGTGCCACGGACCACCCCAGCTAGGTATGGGAATCCCTGGGATGAGGGTTCTCGAAGAATAGGTGGGTAAGGATTTGGTGGTGACAAACAGAAACACACACAGAGGCAGTTTGAATCTGAGTGTATTTTGCAGTTGTCAAAAAAGGTTTTTTTTTTAAAGAGAGATTTTCTCAGGGGATGTTTGGTTAAAGAAATACAAACATATGACATTATTGTTTCTTGGCAAAGTGACTCAGAAATCCAAAACATAGAACCATTCAGGGTTAATCAAAACATAAAATTTGTCCTTGATTAGTCAAAACATAGGACCGTCCTTGACTAACATAGAATCATTCAAGGCTAACCACATATTTTTTAAATCAAATTAATATATTTTATGGTCAATTATTGTTCAACATCTATTACCTAGTTTTTGTGAGATTTTGAAGTATTGAGCTATTTTAACTATTTTAACTCTTTCTTATTAAAAGCTTTTGTTACCAGACACTTAAGCCCACTTTCAATGACATATGTACAGCCATATGAAATTTTATTGTTGGCTGAGATGAGGTCATGGCTAGTGACCCCATCTCAGGGGATGGTTTCTTATCTATTTCTTTTGTTTAAAATGTCAGCATAGGCTTTAAGTAACATTTTGTTAATGTGAAAGAAAAGGAATAGAAGACCAAACAGACATTGCCACAAGAATCACATCCCAATATTTTTCTCCAGATGAGAGTTCCACAACCATTTCCTGGAGACCTCCTTTTGAAGTTATTGCCTCAGTCCGTGGAACTTGTCACTCAGAATCTACTGGATTTGGTGTGGCATCTCTCCCTTTCTTTTTTAATTGAAGCTTGTACATATCTCTTTTGACTGTAGAGATGGAGGAAAATAATAGTCAGAAGAGAAGAAGAAAGAAGAAGAAGAAAGAAGAAGAAGAAGAAGAAGAAGAAGAAGAAGAAGAAGAAGAAGAAGAAGAAGAAGAAGAAGAAGAAGAAGAAGAAGAAGAAAAAGAAGAAAGTACTCCTGAAGCCACAGGACAATACTAATCCATTGTAGCCAATTACCAGGGTTTCAAGACCTCAAACCAGAACTTATAGACTGAGCCAAATTTTCTAATCTAGTAGATTCCATATGTGTTTTACACATAGTAGAGATTTGGGTTTGTAATTGAGCCATATCCTGAGCAATACCATTATTTTTTCCAAATTCCCAACAAATTTTTAGTTAGA